CATTCACAGCCACACGCACGCCAGCACCCAAACCCATAGTCACAGCCACACGCACGCCAGCACCCACACCCACAGCAACAGGCACAGCCACACTCATACCAGCACCCACACCCACCCAAACCCAGAGCATCAGGCACAGTCACGCTCACGCCAGCACCCACACCCACTCAAACCCACAGCCACTCGCATGCCCACACCCACATCTACCCTTCTTATACTATGATTGTAATATTTTAGTCCAAATGGAATAACATCTGTTCAACTTCAATCAATTGAATATCTATTTAATGTAATGTCGAATACTAAACCTTCTCGTATACATTTAACAACACATGTCATTAATTCCAAAACACCAACATTTAGTTTTGCAATATTTTCTCTTTTTCCTCGAATTCAACTTGATGCTGTTGATATGATTTTAAAAGACATGTTTTCTGATGGTCGTCTTAATGGTGAACGTCTTTCAATTATGATTAAATGTTTAATTGAATTAATCGATGCACCTATACAATTCATTCAATATATATCATATGAAACATGGATTATTGGCCTTTGTATGACACTCGTAAGTTTTAATCAACATGAATATCTTATAAAACTTCTTGATGAAACAACATTATTTCTTATTGATCATTTATTTAATATTCAAACATTTGATAATGCATTTCAAATTCTTTTTTGGTTTATTCAATATGATAAACGTATACAAACATTTCGATTACTTCTTGATCGTTTACCTAATCTATTTGAACAATTAAAAATACTAAATAATGAAGATTTAAAAACAAAAATTATTGAATTATGTCATATGGGTATTGCTATTCATTCTGAATATAATCTATCAAATGAAATTATATTAAAACAAATTATTCATAATTTTCCACAACCAGATTTAAATATTTTATTAAATCATAAAAATATTCATGCAAAATTACATTCAATTAATTTAGAAAATAATACTACTAATAATAAAATAAAAAATCGTGTAGGAATTATTAATTTAGGTAATACATGTTATGTTAATTCAATATTACAAGCTTTATATCAATGTGATTTATTTCGAAAATATATATTTGAACAATATTTTAATGAACAAATTTTATTAAGAGAATTACAAATTATTTTCGCTCAACTTAATTTATCAAAACGACCGTATATTAATGCAACTAATTTTGTAAATTTTGAATTATTTTTTCAAATTATAGTTATATGAATATTATAGGTTAAAATTGCTCGACCAGCTTGGTTTACAATGAATGAACAACAAGATTGTGCAGAATTTCTCGGTTTGTTTCGCTTTTTGATCGTTGGCATGTTTGTATTATCAGATGTACAATGAAGAAAAATATTTCTGTTGATTAGATTAGATTCATAAAGAGGCGTAGCCCGGTCACTCGCGATTTTCTGGTTACGCTACTAGATTCATATTTCTATAGCAAAGATAGTTTTTATTAGAGAGAGGATACGATTGACACTTAGATCTTTTGTTTACAATTAATTCTATAATAATATGAGTGTCTCAATGAACTAGAGTCCTGCTGGAGTACAACTTTTTGCACTCGGACCGGTTTCAGCTAGATACTTCTTAAAATATGATCAAATTTCTAAACCTTTATTTACAAACAACAGAGAAAAGAATAAATTCTCTAAAATTACGTAAAAAAACAAGTGAATCAAGACTTAGTTGTTGTCGTCGTGCTCCTAGAACACGACCAGTTTCGCTAAAGACACGCTTGCTTGTGGCTGATAATAATGGAATTGAGAGAAGTGGTAATGCTAAACATGATGATTGTGGAAAAATAGATAAGTTTTTGCTCCACCATAAAAAATTAATAAAAATTTTTTTCTCTAGCATGAAGAAACTAAATTCTTTTCGTTATGAAATATTGCTATGGATAATGAATCCCGTAATCATTATCAGGTTTATTTCGACTCCCTTTTTCCATACTAATAATAGGAAAGAATCAAAATGTTCTTAATTTCACTAGTTCCTCGGTCGATTTATAAGACTCTTGTCAATGAATATAGTACACTTGTTTGTTAAATAGGTTATTTACTTGATACAATAAAAGATGAAGAAAAAAAAGATAAAAATGCATCATCAAATGAAATTCAACGTCTTTTTACAATTCGTACTTGTCAAATCAATCGATGTCAACGTTGTTCGACCGATTCTTATCAAGAGGAATCAAGTAATTATTTATTTCTACCAATACCAACAACAGATAATCAACATGACAATTTAAATTCCAATCAATCAGCTATACCTATATCTGTAATGAAAAATGGTTTAAAATTTTATCCAGCATCAAATAGAAATTCTATATCAAATACATCTATTCAATTGCCTTCATCATCTTCTAATACAACATTAAATCTTCAATTTGTATTTGATTGTTATTTTCAAAAAGAAGAATTGAAGGATGATAATCAATATCGATGTGAGCATTGTCAGTACGTTTTTTTCCAATTTTATTTTCTATTAAAATAAATTTCCAAAATTCCTATTGTCTTCAATCAGATCATTACAAAATGCTGAACGATATACAATTCTTCAAACAGCACCTGAATATTTAATATTATCTTTAAATCGTTTTGAATATGATAAACAAACAAATATATTTCGTAAAGTTTTTACTAAAATAACTTATCCAAAAATTCTTAATGTTCATGTTTATCCATCAAGAAATAATTCGATTCTAACGAAATATTGTCTTGTACTTATTATTGTTCATACTGGTTATACACTTCATGGTGGTCATTATTATGTATATGCAAGAGAAATGAAATCATCAAAAATTAATATAAATGAACAAGAAGATAATGATGAATGGTTTTTATTAAATGATGATCTTGTAACATTATCTTCATATGAAGCTATGATTGAAAATTGTGCTCAATATACATCAGCTACACCTTATGTTCTTTTCTATAAACGTATTGATGAACAACAAATTGAAGAAACAGAAAAAATTAAGCAAATATCTATACATGAAAGTTTAATTAAACAAATACATGAAGATAATATGATGTATGAACGTGAATCAGAAAAATAATTGTTGTAGTTGTTCTATAATTGACTAAAAAAATAAATACAATTGGTTTTCTACACTTGTTGACAGCTTTCAACAACAATATCAAGATCGTTCGACTGATAGAATGATATATCCATTATCTTAAGTCAGTCCTTTGAACTAACACGCTACATATTGCAACTTAGTCAAATATGTCGATATAGTTTAGTTTTTTCAGGACAGGAATGATCATAGAGGGATACATGATTCATTGGTGGTTGAGAATAACTATAAATGGATTTTCGTGATTAATCCTGATCTTTTCTCTTTTTTTGTTCTGCATCAATCTATGACGCTATCATTCTCAGTTGGCGAGGTGAGAGTGCGCGTATGAGTACTAAAATTTATCTCTTATCTAAGCGAACTCTCATCAATGTTGAGTGTTTATATACTATACAAAAAAAAAGAAACGCGTAACTTTCGAATTCGCTGATTTTCATGTGCATGTAATTGGACAGATTTTTAACGAGTATAGTACTCAATTAAATCAAGAAGAAGTCAACTATTTACTAACAAATCATTGCAACTGATCGTCCTTCATTTTCTATCCATCGTCAGCGGAAGATCACGAAGAAAAGGATAAGTTAATTCTTAAGTCTTATTTTTTTACAGACAGATTACGAATAGATTAGTGCATTTTCACTTCAGTTTCAATAGATCGTGTTCATTTTTAATTCTGATAATTAGAATTCACTTCATTGCAATTCAACAAGCAAATTAATCGATTATACATGAACAAGTAACGCTCGTCCAAGGACTCGCTTAGCTCTTTCTCGTAGAAATGCATTTTCTTCACATTTACTGGAAAAACAATTGAAACCGTGAAAAATTGATTTTCGATATTTTTTGACCATTGCTCCCCCATCATGGCTACCTAACAGATCTCAGATTCCTACTCCCCGCATCGAATTACCTATAGAAATGTCCTTTCCTGAAAATCGATTTTCGATGTTTTTTGACCCTGCGGACACACAAGCAAGCAAACAATTTATGTTTTTAAGACTCTTCTCTACGAGAAAGAGAATATGTTATACTATAGAATAATGTAACTCCATCATAGGTAATTCAAAATTTAAATGAATTCGATCATTAAAAATAAATCTTTTATTATACGGTTTTTTTTTGTCATTAACATAAAACAACAGAGGAATGTAAAAAAAAAGAACTTGTTCTGTACATTAATAAGAATAAATTTCATTCATTTCAATGATTTATTATCGGCAAAATGTTTTGATGATAAATTTTTCAAAAGATATCCTTCACTATTTGATCGAGTTCGTTGTAAATTATTCGTATGTATTGTTATTGGTATATTATTTGATGATAGTGATATTGGTTCAATATAAAATGATGAATGTTGAATAGTAACATCATTTTCATCTGTTAATAATTCTTGATCTTCACTTTCATTTTTAATTAAAACTGTATCACATGTCATACCATCATTATCAATAGCACCTTTATGTGAACGTGTATGTATAACTAATGGTGATGATACACCTCCACGATCATCATCAATAATTAATTCAGGTACAACAGCTGGTGATGTATCATTTAAAATATTTTGTTGAACTAGTTGTTGTTGCTGTTGTAGTTCGACAAAAGTTTTTTTCTTAGTAGATTTTTTGTTTAAACAAGGACAAATCAATGCTATGCATTTTTTCCCCCAAATGTCATGTGTTGGTTTTTGTAATGATGAACGAGGATATGATGTATTTGTTCGACGTCGTTCACTACGATTTTGTAATGATGATTGACGATGTCGATTTATTGATCGACGAAATGTTGATAAACGTGTTGATAATGTTTCACCAGTTGAACTACGTTGAATCGTATCACTACTCAATATTGTTCGTTGAACTTGTCGAAGAACTTCATAACGAATTTCAGTATTAAAATAAAAATAAATTAATGATGTAAAAAAACCCTTGAATAATAAAACAAAAAATAAAATTATTTTTGAGAATTTTATTTAATTTCTATACCTGTAAATCACCAAACACCGCTTTGAAAATAACGGATATATAATACCAAATTGTATGTGCTTGATTTTTATGATAAAAAACCCATATAACAAATAATGAATGAAGACCAAATAATGGAATTAATATAAGAATTGATTTAATTAAATGTCTATAGATATACAAAAAATTGAATTAATAGAAGAAAAAGTAAATTTCTATATAGATTAGTTGTTACGGGACAAAGACATAACGTACTAGGTGTCCCGGACACTCGGTAATTTGTCGGGGTGTTCGGTATTGATTTTTTTACCGGGAGTCCGTCAAGAGTGTAGGTGGGTTTGGGTGTCTATTATGAGAGAAGAGTGGTTTATACAGCCACTAGAACACTATGCTTGTTTAAAATTTTGTCATTCTGAAGATTTTGTATGTTTTTATTTGTCGAAAAATCGTAAAAAAAAGTTGGTGCGTTATGTCTCTTTTCCGTTTTTACTAACCTATTTCCTGTACGACTTGTTTGAACATTATTTGATTGATATTTTGAATAGAGAAGTCGAACGAGATACAGAAATATTCCAAAATTAACGAATAGATAAAAAGCATATGGAACATAAAAAAAATAATAGAAATATGTCGTATTATCAGCTTCTAACCAACATGTTGATCGTTGTTTTAATTTATCTGTTATTATATGTGAAGTAATCCACAGTATTAACCATACTAATGGACTTAACCAACCCCATAATACAAATGGTAAACAACCACGATCACGAAATAAATGACTGGTTAAAGCAGTAAATAAAAACATGGCTTCACAAAATATAAACGTTTGAGAAACGGCATCAGTATACCAAAATAAAGAAGATAATACTCGACAACCTAATACCTAGATAAATACAAATGAAAATAGAATCTGTCAT